GAGTCTGACTTTAACCTACTTTTGTCCATTTAGGAGCCCTCCACCTAGAAAAATACACTTTCTGATTATTTCTAAGAATATTGGTATGTAGCTTTTGCATGAATTTTTTAATTAGTACAGTACCCGTGTATATACGGGTGCTTGTAAAGAAAATTTATATTTAAAATTAAAATTAAAAAAAGTTTTAAGTTTCAATTTTTTTGAAAAAATTATATTTTATTTATATTTAAAATGACACCCGTCACTTATACGGCGAACGTGTTATATTATAATAATATTTTAACTTATATTATATAACTAATTTGTAATTGAATTAATTTCAATAAGTTTTTTCCAACTACTATTAATATATAATTTAATTTTTATTATAAAAGGAAAAATATAATCATTTATTTATTTTTATGTACAATAAAGATGTCAAATCGAATATCAAAAAGACATGATTAATTTGATATATTATATATAAAATTTGATAATAAATAAAAAGTTATTAGCTTTTAAATATGTTTATAATTTATGTTAGTAAACTTTTTATAATTATAAAAGAAAGATGAATAAAAAAGAAAGATTGAAAAAAATCTATACTTATATTAAAGGGGGTACTATTTACCAAATTAAGTAGCCAGAAAAGTCAACAGCATTTATTGTATTACTATTTCCGTATTATATTATATTAAAGGATATTCTATTTACTACATTTATTATCCAGAAAAGTCAACTGCATTAAATGTCATTACTATTTTGGTATTATAATATTTTATTTATTTAATTGATTTATTTATTTATTTTATCTTAAAAAGGTAATTATAATAAAAATATTTTAATAATAAAAAAATTAAATACCAAATAAAAATGTACACTTTGACTTATTTGATTATATTTGGTATTTGATTATACCAAATATATTCCTATTTAGTATATACATTAAATACTTACTAAAGTATTCATTTGTTTTATTTGTCAAAGTTAAGTATAGATTTGTTTATATTATCAAATCATAAAAAATATTAAATTCATATTGTAAAAAAAAAAATCATATAATTTTATAACAATTCTACTACACTATTTAACAATATTCCTTTTTTATTATATAATAAAATAATAATTAAATATTATATGGTGAACAACAATAAGTAAAATTGTTACTTTCTCTTATATCAAGGGATAAATTTATATGCTAAAATTAAATTTTTATTAGTATAAATGTTTTAGTGAGATAATATATTAATTATTTTACAAGCTAGCCCTAACATGCTCATATTTAATGTTTTAAAAGATGTAGAAAAAAAAACTTATAATAACTCTATTGTTTTTTAGACTTAAACGTTGATTAAAAGAGGTAAAAACTCATAATTTTTTATACTTAAACGTTGATTAACACCATAGATTGAGAGTTTATATTTAATAAAATTCCTAATTGTAATAAAAAATTAATTTTTGCTATATTTTAGAATATCTTTAAATTCATTATAAAAAAAAAGAAAAAAAAACTACAATGAAAAAAACAAGTCAGCTATATATCGATTTCTTGTATTCCTCAAATCACATTCACAATTTGGCTACAAGGAAATGAAACTCATTGATTAAAATATTATTTTGTCAGTAGTCTTAATGTACAAGAGACTTTAAGACTCCACTTGAATATTATAAAATTTTTATTGAACATCGTACAATTTCTTGCGTATTATAAACTTTTATTGAATATTGCATCTTATAATATAATATTCTCCAAATAAATATATCTCGCGGGTCACATACTATATATATTCCGTATATTTTTCTTTATTCATGTATATAATTATATGTCTGGATAAATAGCCTTAAAATTGTGTACTCCGTGCATCACACGGGCTCTGTACTAGTTATGTCTTATAAACCACGTATAGAATAGGAATATTAAAACATAATTAATGCCCTTAAAAATGATCATAAATAACCAGTATATATATGGATACTCCAAGCCTAATTATTTTTGGATTAAAAATAACCTAAAATTCATCCAAACCAAATGACAAACCATGAAAATTTGCTACATAGAATTCTAAAGCGTGCGGGACTGACATTTAGGTTCAGCGCATTCTAAAATTACATAGAGGGGGATATTCGCTCACACCTTGAGCTATAATTCATTCATCGAACTCTAACTCTCGGAGTCTTGGAGTTATCAAACATAAATCGGGTTGAGTATAAGCTATGCCATATCAAGAATTGAAAATGCTACAAGTACGTAATAAATGTACATAGAGGTGTACATAATACTCACATGGAGTGGAGTGATTTTTTATTTTTGGTAGGTCCTATTCAATGTGAGTGCTATGTATACTCTTATATATAATATTATATATCCATAGAAATTCTCATAATAAAATACACTATCTCCTCCCGGTTTTGTTCATTTTTTAATTTACATTTAAGTCACTTATGCTTATTATTTCGATTACTTTGTTCAAGACAAGATAATGAGAAATAGTGAAATAGAATTGTTTTTGGATGTGATGTGGGTAAATGGGCCCACATTCACTCCTCGTGGTAATGCCTTAATGTAGAGAAACATGTGAGACAACCAAACTCAATCAACCAAACTCCCACGCGTCTGCCACCCTCTCTTGTCTTCTTCCTCTTCCTTTCCAAAAAAATTCCCCTTTAATTTGAAATAAAACTAACTGAACCACACATAAATTCTTATACCAGTACAGAGCCCGTGCGAGGGTGCACAATTTTAAGGCTATTTATCTAGGCTTATAATTATATACATGAATAAAAAAAAATATACGGGATATATATAGTACGTGACCCGTGCAAAGCACGAGATATATTTATTTGGAGAATATTATATTATAAGATGCAATATTCAATAAACGTTTATAATACGCAAGAAAATTGTACAATGTTCAATAAAAGTTTTATAATATTCAAGTGGAGTCTTAAAGTCTCCTGCATTAAGATTACTGACAAAATAATATTTCCCCTCAGCTCAGAGCACGCAGCAGGTAGGAAGCAGTCGAGAGCGTGACTTGAACACGAGTGGGCGCGTGAGTGATGTCAGGATATCCCAACGGTTTGCGCAAGGGAATAATTCCCCTCAGCTCAGAGGGGGCACGTGGCGAAAACGTATTGGTGCAGAGTGATAGTGGCAACAACCACCTCTGACACCCCTGACATTTCTGACAACACACACACTGTGTGCGTACGGACGGGCAGCGTGGGCAGGACAGCTCACCAATATCCGGGCAGCTCTTAGGGCAGGTATCTCACTCCTATATATATAGGAGTGGGTCTTTTCTTAGGGTTTACGATTTATCCATTCTTTACTTTGGAAAATTGAACAAACATATACCGACTTAAGCATCGGAGGCTCTTCACCCGAAAACCCCACCGGTGTGAGAGTTTTGTGCAGGGACGCGGCGTTCTATCGGCAAGGAGGAAGGAAGCAAACCGATTCCAAGCCGGTCGGAGTGTTTTGCGTTACCACAATCAATGAGTTTTCTTTCCTTGTAGCCAAATTGTAAATGCGATTTGAGGAGTACAAATCGATATATAGCTGACTTGCTTTTTTCATTGTAGTTTTTTTTTTTTTATAATGAATTTAAAGATATTCTAAAATATAGCAAAAATTAATTTTTTTATTACAATTAGGAATTTTACTAAATATAAACTCTCAATCTATGGTGTTAATCAACGTTTAAGTCTAAAAAATTAGGAATTTTTACCTCTTTTAATCAACGTTTAAGTCTAAAAAACAATAGAGTTATTATAAGTTTTTTTTTTCTACATCTTTTAAAACATTAAATATGAGCATGTTAGGGCTAGCTTGTAAAATAATTAATATATTATCTCACTAAAACATTTATACTAATAAAAATTTAATTTTAGCATATATTTATCCCTTGATATAAGAGAAAATAACAGTTTTACTTATTGTTGTTCACCATATAATATTTAATTATATAATAAAAAATAAATATTGTTAAATAGTGTAGTAGAATTGTTATAAAATTATATGATTTTTTTTACAATATGGATTTAATATTTTTTTATGATTTGATAATATAAACAAATCTATACTTAACTTTGACAAATAAAACAAATAAATACTTTAGTAAGTATTTAATGTATATACTAAATAGGAATATATTTGGTATAATCAAATACCAAATATAATCAAATAAGTCAAAGTGTACATTGTTATTTGGTATTTGATTTTTTTATTATTATATTCTTTTTGTTATACTTACCTTTTTAAAATAAAACAAATAAATAAATCAATTAAATAAATAAAATATGATAATACCGAAATAGTAATGGCATTTAATGCAGTTGACTTTTTTGGATAGTAAATATATTAAATAGAATCTTCTTTTATATAAGTATAGATAACACATTTATCTGTCACAATTTTTCAATAAAAATATATTTCTATAGTATCAAATATCATACATTTATGCATATACTTTTAAGAGTGTAAATTTTGCACTTTAAAATTTTAATAAAAAATATGATTATTTAACTGTGTCAGTGTTGTTAACTTAATCGAGTCTGGCTCAGCTCGAGCTCGAGGCCTTAACAAACCGAGCTCAAGCTCATTTAAAGCTTGTTTGGTTAACGAGCCAAACTCGGTTGATCGACTCGATAAGACTCGAGAAAAAAAAATTTATATAATTTTTTATAAGTCGGTTCTTTAATAGTGATAAACGAGCTGAACTCAAGCTCGATTTTCTTGCTCATTTATTTAATGAGTCTAACTCGATTTGACTTGTTAAGTACTTAGCTCGAACTCGACTCAACTCGTTTATAGACCAGTCGACAGTCATATTAAAATACGAACAGGTCTATCTCTCTCTAAATCTCTCTCTCAACTACAATTAGACATAACCAAGATGGCCCCATCTTTTGTTTTCTAGCTCTTGTCTTAGAATATCCATGTTGTGGGTGTTATTAAATGTTTACCCTAAAAATCCCCTCATCTTTACTTTTTTCTCCTTCTTCTTCCTCATCTGATCATGGCCTCATCATCATCATCTTCCCCGCCGGCGGCCGCCGATAAACCAGACGGCCAGGCTGGCCCCACTCACCACCACCACCCTCCTCTGCCGTGCCCCCGCTGCAATTCCCCCAATACCAAGTTCTGCTACTACAACAACTATAGCCTCTCCCAGCCCAGACACTTCTGCAAGTCCTGCAAGCGCTACTGGACCCGCGGCGGCTCCCTCCGCAACGTCCCCGTCGGCGGCGGCTGCCGCCGCAACAAGCGCCTCAAGCGGCCGCCGCCGTCGCCTACCCCAGTCGCCGCCCAATCCAACCCTAAGCCGCCGATGATGACGAATAATCACAATCCCTCGATTAATTACCCCCTCCAATCGACCAACAATCGTCTCGAGCCGGTCGGTTTTCCGTTTTCCGGTGAGGACCAGGGATTCGATTTTCAGCCTCGAGTGGGCGGGTTCGGGTTAGGGTTTTCGTCTGGGCTCGTTAATGGGCCGCCGTTCGATTTAGGCCCAGTTCCTTTTCTGCCAACAGCGGCCCATAATTCGCTCAATTTCAGATCTTCGGTGTTTGCCTCCACCGTCCAGCATCAGAAATTCGGGACTAATGGCGATTTTAAAGATGTGATTATTAGTCGTCATGAAAATGGAGTTACGGGTAATTATAATCGAGATGTGAAAGTAGAAGGAGAAAACGGGTCCGGGTTTGGGAACCCGAAAAACCCGAACCCGATTGATCAGCTTAATTCCTCGGATCCTTCGTCTCTTTTATGGAGCACGACTAATCTTGGCGCTTGGTTTGACCCGTCAAACTCAAACATTGGTTCTTCAGTTTCCTCTTTGATTTAGCGGCTATTTTCATTTCCTTGGATTTTGATTTGATCTTCTTATTTTTGTTTAATTAATTGGGGTTTTTTTTTGCTTAAGCACTAGTGGTCTTCTATTTCATTCTCTCATGGTGACGTCATTTTTTGTACTGACGTTTGAGTCTATGAAAATGGAATAGAGAATGAAATTGAAGATCATCAAGATTATCAATCTAATTTTCTTAATCTTATTTTCTTAATAATTTGTACTCCTGCGATAAGTTATTATCCAACTTTTGAACAAAGTATCTATAATCAAATTATCAATCTAATTAAAAAGTAATTTCTTTAAATTCAATGAGAAGTTTGATTGGGGGTTTTCTTCCAATTTTTATTTTTTTTATCTCATAGTGCCCCAAAATTCCGGAGAACAAAAAAATATGCTACAAGTAAACTACCAAATGGATTATATTACCTATACAGAGTTATGGTTCGTATATACTTAAAATATATGAAACGTACATTAGAAAGAGAAATATAAGTCTTACAAAATAACATACCAATACAATCATTTTCTCATTGTGTTACAAATATTATAAATTGTTAGATAACACCAAACATAAACTTTATCATAATATACAATTAAATAAATCAATGTGAAACAATCATTCGTAATGTAAAAAAAATAGTATGTAGTCATAACTAATTCAATAATTCGACATTCGTAGCCTCAACATAAATTCTACATAGCACTTCAAGGAGGATTTTGTTTGTACTAATTAATGCAAAAATGAAATTTTAGTCCTGTTGGTTTGTTTATGTGGCGTTTTTAGTCCTGAGATCTGAATGTTTTGCTATTTGTTCCAATGATTAAAAATTTAATGCAATTTAAGTCCTTCTGACAACAAAAAGTCAACATTGTCGCCTGAATTGTCACGTGACCCATACGTGATGAACATTGGCCATTTTCTTCTGACATGACACAAAAACCTCATGAAGTGGTAAGAAAAATAATTCAATTTAAAAAAAAAAACATAATCTAAGTTAACCTTGGAATTAAAATCCTAATTTGTAAGGTTTTTGTGAAATGGCCGGTCTACTAGCATGGGTGGCAGACGTCATCAGACCCGACCCTGAGTAGGAACCTGAGGCACGTAGACAAGTACCTAACATATTTAATTACTGCATGGAAGCTCAAGTTGGTGGACTGCGGCGCCGCCGCCGCCCAACATGACGATTTGCTATATCGGTTTATGAAGAAGCATGAGTACTTGTCGGACAAATTTCTTCTGAAGGTAGAGCTGAATTCCATCTTGGACGGTCAAGACACGTCGTCGGTGGCCCCTCAGCTTGTTTTTCTAGCTGTTGACACAATATCCCCAAATTGAGGAGAAAACCTTAATTGAGATCAGTTTTGTTATGAGAGAGACAAGTGGAGGCGATGCGGCCAATTGGATGGAGTAGCCACTAGAGTTCGAGGAGCTGGAGCAACCGGTGTACATGAAGGCGGCGCTGTCAGAAACTCTACGGGAGTACCCACCAGTTGTGCTGGGGGATCGAACGTGACCTACTCGATCTACTCGGCGTGGTTGATGGAGGGAGTTTGGGGGCCCGATTGCTTGCAGTTCCGGCTGGAGAGATAATTGGCTGGCGATGGGGGGCAGTTTGAGGCAAGGTCCAATTTAAGTCCATGGGATTCAATGCAAGCCGAGGGCTTGTTTGGTGATGGAACTGGTGATCCTGCACATGAAGTCGGCGGCGGTGCTGCTATGGCATAGGCTAGCGGTGTCGGAGTGGCATGTTTAGTTGTTTTTAACGGAGTACGATCGAAAGATCTTCCTCGGGTTTACTCTCAAGGAAGGTGATTTGGAGCTTCGATACACATTAGTTGTCGAAAGCTCAAAAAGGAAAATAAAGTCATAAATATACTAAGCATGATAATTGGAACTGAAATTAAGCTAATTTAAACTAGGAATTGAAAGAAACTAAATAAAGATGCAATCTTTATAGGAAAAATCGGAACTTTGGTTGCCTGGAGTATCCACAACTCAAGAAAAATGAAAATAAATAAAGAGAAACAAGCTAGTACTAAGATCCCAAGTAATCAACACGAGCTTTCTAACCTAAATGATTAAGCTTTGAACAAAGTCTCAATCTTTAACACAAGATAAGCATGTAATTAACTCCTAAATTCACTTAGACAAGCAATAAAAACAAAATGATTCAAACTTTGCTTCATTTAACTAACAAGACACCAAATTTACCATAAAAATCTTCATAAGTAAAAACGAAGCTAAAACGGAGTAATGAACTTTAAAACTAAATACTCACTCTTCTATTGCATGCTCGTAGAGAATTGAAGGAACAAGCTTGAAACTTGCACAAAAACAAAGTCGACGGAAAGTCGCCAAAAAATATGAGTCATGGAGCTTTCAACACAAAGATAGAGAGGGACGCGAATTGAAATAAACTTAATTTTCTTAATTGCATACATGCCACTAGAAGATTTCTAATTTCCAAAAGCATGCCCCTCATCTCATCCTCACATATGCCACACTGCATATCGACTTTCACCCCGAATAGTCCGTCGGTGATCGCTGAAACGAGATGATGACTATCAACCGGCGACGGCGGGATAAATCGACCACAAACCTCAAATTGATTACCGAAATATGATTTAGGAGTTTACAATTGGGGCTCGATGTAGGTATTTTACAAATATCGGAGAAGACGAGTGGCAGAGGAGAGCAAAGTGTACGTGATTGAGACTGCAATGGCTAATGCCGGCGACGACAGTCAGACTCAGAAGAACTCGTCGGAAAAAGCTGGTTTGCCTGCGACAATGAGTTCCATGGCGGAGGTCGTGTCGCTGAGTAGCGTATGGCGTCAACGTGGACCGAAGTTGTTCTGCTGCCGTCAGGGGGCGCGGTTTCTCCATCAACTGCCGCCGCGAGGTTGTCTGATTGACGGTGCGAGAGAGGGAGTGACATATGCGAGCGAGAGAGAGAAAGAGAGAGAGAGAGAGAGAGAGAGAGAGAGAGAGAGAGAGGGATATATATAGACAGATACAGAGAGTGAGAGAGATAAAGAGTGAGAGCGAGAGTTGACCGAGATTGGTGTGTGTGGGGCCCAATGCCATGTGTGGTAAATGTGTTATGTCCATATTGCCCTTAATTATTGGTCAAATGTGTACATTTAACCACAATGTATGTTAATTTACCATATTGTCATTAATGATTGACTAAATTTTGACTTAATCATAACCATTGATATGATAGATCCAGTGGCACCTATCCATTCCTATTTCTTTCAATATATCTACTATTCTCATATGATCTCTTCTCTCTCTTTCTCTCTCTCTCTCTCTCTCTATATATATATATATATATATATATATATATATAAGGGGCGGATCAAATGCGACCAGCTCTTAAAATGCGCCCAGCTCTTAAAATGCGGACAACTCTTAGCAACTACAGATAATTAACCTAGCAACTACAGAGAACTAACTTAGCTACTACTAACCTAGTAACTACAGAGAACTAACCTAGCAACTTCTAACTTAGCAACTACAGAGAACTAACTTAGCAACTATAGAGAACTAACCTAGCAACTAGTAACTTAGCAACTACAGAGAACTAACCTAGCAACTACAAAGAACTAACTTAGGAACTACAGAGAACTAACCTAGCAACTATAGAGAACTAACCTAGCAACTACAGACAACTGACCTAGCAACTACAGAACTAACCTAGCAACTACATAGAACTAACCTAACAATTACAGAGAACTAACCTGACAACTACAGAGAACTAACCTAGCAACTACAGAGAACTAGCCTAGCAACTACATAAAACTAACCTAGCAACTACAGAGAATTAACCTAGTTGGAAGGTTAGTTGTCAACGGACAGCGCCGGAAGTCAACGGATTTTGCCAGAAGTCAACCCCAGAAGTCAACGGTCAGCGCCGAAAGTCAACAATCAATGAGTCAAAATAATATTTAAATAATTAAAGTAATAAAAAGAAAAGAGTAACTCTTGGCCACACATGATATACCAAATCTTGTGGCTAAAAATGAATCTCACGTCCTCACTTTAAATAAGTGGATGCATTAGAACCAATCCCTATATATATTTTTTTTTAACTTATACCATATAACTACTTTAAACATAAATATATTAATTGATAAATAATTTTATTTTTCTAGTTAATATTAATAAGTAATTTTATTATTATTATTATAAAGATATATATAGTTTATTTATTTTATACATAGAATATGTATGTCAAATTGAATCTTATCAAAAGATGATTATTTTGATATATTATATATGTAAAATTGATAAAAAATACAAAATTAATTATCAATTTTTAAAATACATTTACAATTCAAGAGTTATAATAGGAATTGCTATTAAAATGCAATTAATACATTTAAAATGACTATAAATAGCTAAAATATTTATGGATAATCCTAACCTACTTATTTTTGGATTGTAAGTAACTTAAAATCTATCCAAGCCAAATAATAAAGCATGGAATTTTGCCACGTGGGATCCCGGTGTATGCGAGTTGATATGCGTCATATTTACGTGCATTTTATAGTGATTTTCGTGTCCGTTTCGTCGTAGTTTGATATATATATAGTTATTGTTTAATTAACTATTAAATAATTAATTATGTATTTAATTAATTTTATTAAGCTATGATGAGGTGTTTTATTTTAGTTTTAACAGGAAATGGGGTCGAATTAATTTTAGGTGTCGAAAACGGCGTAAAACGGACATAAAGGGAGTGCGAACCATAATTGAGACGAGCCTAGTTACACAGCCCGCAAGAAATATGCAGCATGACCCTTTTATTTTCTCAGATGGGCCATCCAACTAGCCCATTAAGGCTTATAAATTCAGCCCAACTCAATAATGCAAGTAATAGCAATATGGTAATTTTGGAGACAAATATGTTGAATGGAGAAGTTCATCTTCTTCACAGAGTCCGTCCGCCATAAAAGTACTCGACCAAGCTGTCAACTCGCCACCACGCCGCTACCCAGCCACCGGAGACCGCCTTGGTGGCCGTCGGTGCCATACCGTCGCCTGAGAAGCAGCCTGGACGTCAAAACCTCGCCGGAGTAGTTGTTGTGGGAAGCAATCGGAAATGGTCGGGAGCTGGCCCGAAACCACCTCTATGACCTCTTTTCCGACCACCTGACACCTAGGAGAAGATGCACGGCCATCATGTTCGAGTTGTCAGCTGCTGTCCGCGTGGGTGATGGAGCCGCCGGAATCTGACTGGAGCTCGCATGGCCGGCCACCATGACGTCTTCTGACCGCATGTACGACCAACGGAAGACGCCTGAGACGCCGAGAATGTGATCAAGCACTGAAAACGGTGCAGAAAATGGAGTTTAACGATCCCAGACTCACACGGGTCGTGTGAGCCCGAGACACGACTCGTGTCGCTCGACGGGTCGCGAAACCGACTCTCGGCATTGACACACGACTCGTGTGACCTATGACACGAGTCGTGTGGGGTCTGGGCGCTACTTGTACGGATTTTACGCGTTTTCCATATTTTTAGGGAATTTTCGACCTATTTCGATTAGGACACGATGCCAACTATTTATATAACACTAGGGCACGTTTTTGGGGGAGTCTTGGACATAATTTTCAGATCTTTGGAGACTTTTGGAGACTAGAAACACGAGCAAGACGAGGAAGAAAGCCGGGAAGAAAGTATCGACGGAGCCGAATAAGATTTTTCTTTCTTTTTCTTTACTTTTTTTTTTAACCAACACCCCAGTAAGGTGGGGGGTTAAGGTCGAACCCCCAACCTATATATAGAATGCTCTAAATGGGCCGAAAAGTCACAAAACTACAAGTCCAATGTCTGATATACATCCAGTCAAACGAAAAAATAAAAAACAAAAATCCACAAAGAAAGGAAAAAATACTGAGAAAAGCAAACAACTGCAGTGATAAATATAAAAATAACAGATCATGTTTCGGACTAGAGACCCCGGCTAGAAAGTCAGCATCACAGTGTGGCAGGTGCGCCAAAAGGTAGGTCCAGCTACACTAATATGATTGAGGGATATCCCATCTGGTCCATTCGTATGATGGTGCGGAGGCGGATAGGAATGTCGTCAGGATAAAGAATGCGTCTGTGGGAGGGGTGGAGGACTCGATGCCAGCGAGGAAGTCAGCTGGCCGGTTCCCCTCGCGGAAGATGTGCGAGTTCCGGGAGCGAATCGTCTGGAGAGTGGCTCTGATGCGCATGAGAGGGTGCTGGATCTGCCACGTGCCCTGATGTCCTGATAACAGAAGAGTGATGACAGCGGCCGCGTCCAACTCTATCCAAATGTGGGAGGAGATCGAGGCGGCAATCTGCACACCGATCTGAAGCGCCTGAACCTCCGCGTCATAGCTCGAAGAGGCCTGAAGAGGGGCATGAAACGCGGCGATAAGGGCGCCGCTATGATCCCTAATCAGGCCCCCACCTCCTGCAACTCCAGTAAGTCGATCAAGGCTCCATCAGTGTTTAGCTTAGCCCAAGGTGACTCGGGTTTCAGCCAAACAACAGCTCTGGGACGTGGATGCTGGACAGGCACCAGCGGAGGTGGTGTAAGGCGGTGAGGTGCC